GCTGTCCTGAGAATAGAAGTATATCTTGCTTAGTGTATGAATAGTATACTTCTTAACTGATTGGCCCAGAGCAAACTTTACTGGTACATAGGTAAATCTCCAGTGTAGCTAGATACCTCCTAGAAGTTTGGAATATTGTTCATGTCCAGTGTGCTTTTTGGCAGTATATTCTGAGTAGGCCAATATGTCATATATTTTCATATATAATGGAGGCTTATTCAGAATTTGTTTTTTGAGTTTTTCTTTCTACTTTAAGATTTCACCAGTCTCGTGACCTGCTAATAAAGATAACCTTTCTGAGTTTCTCATATTATCTTTCTAAATTCAAATTTTAAGGACTCAGCCTTTCTTGCATTTTAATAGAGAACTCTAGTCAGGGTGTCAGAGAGCTTAGGTTATGGTTGTGTAGGCTCTTTGATTTTAGTCAAGTAAGGCTTTGATTTCCTTATGTATAAAATAAGGGTTGGGATGTTTTCCAAGGTTTTTCTCAAACTCAGCCATTATCAAGGATATCTTCTTCTTGGATCTCCTAAACTATTATAGTAAGATTTATGTATTTTCCTTTCTACTCTCAAAGAAACTCCATGTATTCCATATCTCAGGTACTTGTGTGAATTCATCCTGAAACACTGAAGTTGGACTATGTCTTCCACATTTCTCAACATTCTCTAAACTATTGTATTTTCCCTTTGATTCTCTAAAAATATGTTTATCTTGTCATAGGGTCATGAGATATTGCCCTTCGTGAATTCAACAGAAGACTAGAGAATACCTTAATGATGTCCAAATATTATCATCTGCCCTTATTAAGAAAGTGTTCACAAATCTGAAAGTGTGATTGGATTAATTTAACAATTTCTTGCCAAACCACTACCCCAGAATTCGCTCTGCTTGCTTTGTTGGTACAGTTGTTTTTGAAACATGGATAGAAAGAACTATTTCAATGGGTGCCATAAATAGGGTTCAGATAGATATTCCCAAGCCAGAAGAATGGGATGGAACAAAAGTGATATAATTTCTTTTTTTTTTAATTTTTAATTTTTTTAAATACACAACAACCATGGACTGCATTAGAATCCTTATTACACATATAGAGCACAATTTTTCATATCTCTGTATATAAAGTATGTTCACGCCATCTTATGCAAAGTAATATAATTTTATGGAGACATTCATTGGCTCTCTTGGGGCAGGAGATATTTGTTAACTGGTTTACTCTGTCTTTAGTATGCTTTCCATAAATATTTGTGGAAGGAATAAATTAAATCCCACTATAGTTGGCCTATTAGTCTTTTTTCCATTACTGTAACAAAATACCTGTGCTATTTAGCTCATATTTTTTGAGGCTAAGTATCCAAGATTGGCCATTTCCTTGGCTGCATTACATCATGGCAGATTGCATCATGATGTAAATGTGTGGGAGTGAGCAATCATATGGCAAGACAGGAAGCTAGATCTTGGGGAGGGGCTATCTTTGATCTTCTGTTACAACCATCTTATGAGAACTAACCAGAGTCACATGACAACAATATTAATTTCTTCTGTTCGCAATACCCCAGTGACCTCCTACCACTTGATCTGCCTCTCAAAGTTCCTACCATCTCTCACATTACCACACTGGGGGCCAAGCCTGTAACTCTTGAACCCTTGATGGACAAACCACTTCCAATCCATAGTGCTGCTTAAATAGAATGAAGAACTTATTTAAATCTTAAATTTAGGGTCTCAGAGCACATGCAAGGAATGGGGACCAGTATAGTATAGTGGCAGAAACCTAGTCAAATAAAATATTGTGGAAAGAACTAGGATTTTTTTTTTTGTTTGTTTATTTTTGTGGTGCTAGAGATTGAATGCTGGGGGCTCACTCATGCTGGGTAAGCATTCTACTACTGAGCTCTATCTTAAGCCCAGAACAGAAATTTTTACCTGGAAGGTTAGAAGGTTTAGTGGGGTGAATAATTCATGTGTTTACTTTAATTCTTAAGTATAGCATTTATATTCACGGGGAACTTCTACAGCTTTGTCAGGTACTCTTTTTATGTGAAACTTGAGATCTTCAAGTACCGTTTGGATTGCACCTATAAGAAATACCAAAGAAGGAGTTTCTGAAGGAACAGGTACTTGAATCCGATCTCTGTGTTTCATGTGAGTCCATGATTCTCATTTTGAGTTTTACTTCAAAAGGATCATAGCATGCTAACTGTTTCACAAAGAACAGTGAAGTGAGCAATGTCATTGTCTGTCTTTGCCAAAGAGGTAAAACTTTTAGAGCTGAGAATATAAAAAAATTTAAGATTATCAAAAGATGGAAATAATTTTATATTTTTATTAATAAGAGACAAGTAATGGAGATCACAGAAAAAKTATAGTGGATAAAAGAGATGGCTGTGAGTGAAGTGAGGAAAAAGTCCTTTAGAATATCATTGTGAATTGTTTGGATTTATATTATGGACAGTCTTCTAATATATCAGTAACCTTTGATAGAGCATTGTCTTCATTAACATCACACCAGTGATGCCATAACAGCCATCCTGGGCCTATTTATGTGTAGGGGAAACTTCTTAGCATACCTCAGAGCCTTGGAGAGAATAGATATGCATAGCAATTAGTAAAATCATCTTTATAGTCTTAAATATTTAAATCGTTTGTTCAGCAAAGTGAGGGAATTTAAATATTATTACAAACATGTTTTGGATCTTCTGAAATTAGCATTTATTGAGGGAGAGATGCATGATTATATTAAGAATTGATGTCTTAAATGCTATGATATAAATATCATGCTGTTGGGTGATTTGCTTTGGAAGAGCAGAAAGGAAAGGAGACTGGGTCTTGAAGAATTAACTTTGAAGCACAGAAAATACAATTGGTGGGTACCTAGGAATAATAGGAAGATTAACATCCTCATCTATAGACTTGGTCAAAGGTTGCTTTCTAATGGAGATATTAAAAATTTGTCAAACATTATTCAAAGTCAGGATGTTAATTTTTCAAAATGGGGAGTGTAAGAGTTGGTAAAAATAGTGATAGATCTAAAGAAATGATGTATCAATCTGGAGTGAAAGTTTGTACAGACATTGAATGTGGAACAAGGAGAAGGTTTGGGAGATACACTTCAGCAATATTCATCCCAACACTTTCCAGAAGAATGGAACATTCCTGTGATTGTGGTYTGAACATTCCTGAGGTGTAGATGACATGCTAGATTGCCATTAGCATGGTGCCATTTACGTATTATTTTATAAAACAGATTCCCTCTTTGTTCTGATTTCCACTTCATTAAGCAACATTGACTATAATGTGCCTTCCATCTTGTTCATTCCACAGGGAGGTCAATCACTTACTGTGCTGACACGAGCATTCTGATCCACATGGCAGTTAAGGTGGATAATTGAATGGTGTTTTAGTTTGTACATTAGTCTCTTGTGAGCTTAATGTCTCTCTGATGCTTAAAGATGACTCTATTCAGAATACCTAAAAGAGTAGTATAGCTTCATGTAGACTGTACAAGTCATTTGTGGTCAGAGGAGACATATGTAGGCATAATTGAAAAACTGTAGGTAGTCAAAGTTTGAGACAGTGCAAAGAAGGAAGATGAGGCAGATAAACAATAGTAATATTAATGATAAGTGAGATATATAAGGCAGGTTGTCCAAGGGTCTTTCCCTTTGGGTAGAGGAGGTTTGGTTCATATTTTAATGTCAATCGAAGTGAAAGGACATAGCATTTGCATTTCTTATGGTAAAACCTCATTCATTTTTTCATGATTACTTTTCTATGAGTTGAATCTCATTGTTCTTTCAGATTCAAGCTGGGTTTGTTGCCCATTAATCTTGGTCTTTTTATATTTAATAGGATAGTTAAAAATCATTACATAACAGCATTATGTAATGATTGAGGACATAATAACCATCCATCATGACTTTGGTGTGTCTATATATATATATGTGTGTGTGTGTGTGTGTGTGTGTGTGTGTGTATGTACGTATACACACACATATATATCCACCTTTGGTATGTCTATATATGTGTGTGTGTGTGTGTGTGTGTGTGTGTGTGTGTGTGTGTGTATATATATATATATATATATATCCCTATTATTTTGTGATAAGCCTATCTGTATAATACCACTTTGGATTTCTCTAGCACAGGTTGACTATCCTTATCCAAAATGCTTGGGGGCTAAAAGTGTTTCATATTTTGGAATATTTTCATAGACTTTACTATTTGAACTTCTCTAATCCAAAATCCAAAATGCTCCAAAGTTTGAATGTTTCTGAGTGCAGTATTAATGCTCCAAAAGTTTTGTGTTTTTAGGCATTTTAGATTTTTGTTGTTACGGATTAAGGATGCTCACCTTGAATGATATTGCATAATTATAGTGATTGAGAATGGATTTGCCTACAGTAGGCCCCAAACTTTAATTTCTTAAAGGAATCCTKAGAAAACTCTTTTGATTAAGTATGTTTACTTTCTTAGAATATATCCCTATCTTGCTTTTATCAAATTTTCATGACTCAGTGACATTTCGGTGGTATAAGTGCATTTGGCTTTTTAAGAAGTAGGTGAAATAAAAGTAATAGCACTTGTTTTTTTTTTTCCCCTCTCAAATGAAGAAACTAATAGCGTTATATTAGGCTCTTCATCATTTCTGGTGTTTTACTAATGTTTAGGGCAAACTCAGTTTGTGGCTTTAGCTTTTACTCTCTGATCCATTAATAGAAATGTGCTATTGAATGGTAAAGGATTTTTTTCACTGTTTTTCATTACATAATTATTATAATATTGTTTGTCAAATATCTGCTCACCCGTTTTTAATCTGCCTCACTTCTGAATTCTATAACTTTATTTTAATTAAGAAGTAGGTGGAGTGTTTTATTTTAGTTAAGTAGAAGGACTGATAGAGTCAGATCTATTTTGTAATCCAGTTCTGCAATTTGAATGTATAAATAGTACAAGTATTTTTTCCTCTACTTAAACTTCTATTTCATGTCTTTTCATAGGAAAAACATATAAGCAATGAAGAAGAACACTTAAGGAGGATGGAAGAAGCCCGACTGCATCTCAAGGATCAACTTCTTTGTCTGGAGACTGAACAGGAATCCATTCTTGGTGTGATAGGAAAGGAAATTGATGCAGCTTGTAAAACTTTTTCCAGGGACTCGATGGAGAAATTGAAGGTAATTATGAGTTCTCATTGTGACTTAAATTTTCAGTTAGTTTCCTAATATCTAATTATAATTGGATTGTAATATATGGTTACATAGTAGTCACATTTTTGTTCTGGAAAGTTTTAAGAAAACAAAATAGCTTCTTACATTTTTAAAGAATAAATTATACCTATAATTTACAATATAATTACACCTATAGAATAAACTATACCTATTGCTATTGCACTGTCATAGTGACAAAAAGTGTGGTGTTATTCATTGAATTACCTATGTCTTTCTGTTTTATGAGAGAGACATCAGTTCTGACTCAGGAGAGTATCCTTGGAGTTTAGAAATCTGAGTTTAAAATTTTTCATTATCATGGTGTTATGGTTTAGATATGAAGTGTCCCTGAAAAATTCACGTGTGAAACAATGCAAGAAGGTTCAGGGGAGAATTATTGGGTTGTGAGAGCCTTAACCCAGTTAGTGAGTTAATCCCCTGATAGGGATTAACTGAGTGGTAACTGAAGTGGTAGGGTGTGGTTGGATATAGGAATTGGGGGTGTGGCTTTGGGGTATATACATTTTGTATCTGGAGAGTAGAGTTTCTCTCTGCTTTCTGATTATGATGTAAGCTGCTTCCCTCTGCCACACTCTTCTGCCATGTTGTTCAGCCTCACCTTGAGACCCAAGGAATGGAGCCAGCCTTCTGACTGAGACCWCCAAATCCATGAGTCCTTAAATAAACTTGTCCTCTACAGTTGTTCTGGTTGGGTCCTTTTAGTCACAGCAGCCAAAAAGCTGACTAAAACACATGGGCTGATTTGTTATTAGTATATTATTTGCTACCATCCATTGAGTTCTGTATTACWGGTTCAATGGAAAGTATGGTATATACAGTATTTCTCTTAACCCCTAAAACTACCCTATCCCTTAGGTAGTCGAATCCAATCCACTGTAAAGGAGAGAAAACTGAACCTGGAGGGGTTAAATAACTTGCCCTGTCCATCCATCTAGTCAAATGCTAATCTAGGACTTCTAACATTAGAGGACTAACTCTGGATCCTAAAAACATATCCACTGTGCTATCTGTATTTGGTTTACTTTTTCTATGTTTTAAGAGGAGTATTGCAGCTCACTTTGTAGTTGTAGTGAAAAAAGTAAATATTCAAGTGATTATGGATGTTTTGAATTCCTTGAAGGGGAGCGCTTATGTCAAATTTGGTTCTGGTCTAAGGACTTAGCATTTTCTCTCACCTCTAGGAAATCACCAAAGGTTTTGTTAGAGATAAAATTGGTTATTTGGTAGTTCATAGTTCTGCGGGAGAAAGGCAGAAGAATCATGTGGAAATTTTCACAAAAGGAATAATTTCAATTCTCTGTCATTTTCTTGATTTTTAAAAAAATATTACTAATGAAATTCAGCTACTTATGTACCAGCTGACTACAGAAAAATGAGCTTGAAAAATGTTCTGGAGAATGTTGATATTCTAATTTTTAGAGGTGTGTATATAAAGTCACCATATTATTTATTCTGCTTAATAGATGCATATAACATTTGAAAACTTTAGGACATATGATTAAATCACTAAGATTATAAAACATTTAGAAGACTATCTGAATTAAAGATATCTCATTCTCATAGGTCAATCTTTGATAATTCCAGAGCTCAACTAAGTAGATTTAGCTATACTTCATGTCTTTATGTATGTCTCTTCCGATAACACTTGATCTGAATATCAATTCTATTGTAGAGTATGAAGAGGATGGGTTTTGGATTAAGATAGATGTAGGTTCCAATTGACAGTAGTACGTCATAAATTTCTAATGTATGAATTTGAATATGTTATGTAATCGCTATATACTCTCTAAGAATTTATATCTCCAATTGTAAGTTGGCTTATTATGAAGTTAATGTAAGATGACATATAAAGTTATATACCATAATATGAAATATTTTGCACTTAGTAAATACTAAGGTGACAATATTAGTATTAATGTCAGCTATTGTTATATAGTATCTTTTTTGGTAATATATTCACATATGCACATGTCTATTCTTTATCATTTTGTAGTGAAAGGTGTGTTGTAGTGCTCTTGCCATGACAGACCTTGATGTTTGTTTATGAATGATGATATCTTGATATATAAAAACAGTGGGGTATTGAATGTGTTCTGTGTGCTGGACACTGTGCTAACTCTTATTTTGCTTGATCTTAACCTTGGCCTTATCTGATAGTTTGTCTGCTTTACATATATTTGCAGCATAGGAAAATTAAGCCACCACTTGCAAGTGGTCAATGCTGTTCTTTTAAACATGAAATGATATGTAAATCTGTGAAGCATGTTACACAATATAAATGTTACGAATATTCTTTATATCAGATTATTGTTTATTTCAATTTTGAGCACTTTAGGTTAATGAAGGTTTAATTGAGATATATGACATAGTTGAGTGAAAAAGTATATCATAATCATACTTTTAGAGAAAAATCTATTTCTAATACTCTTTCCTCTTATAATCCATCACAAATAGATGTTTACAAATATTCATCAGTAGACTAGATAGTTAAAGGGAAAGAAAACAGTGAGAAGTAGGGTGATTGGCAAGAATTGTACAGAAAAGGCGGAGAGGGCCTAAGAGTAGGGCGAGATTTAGATAGAAAGATGGATAAGAGAGAGGCTGRTTATAAAAATACAGCACTTTTGCATATGACATGAGGTAGTCACTTTATGTGTATGTGTTTTTCCTGTGTGAAAATGAATTAATGTATGATATTGTGATACAGGAAATTAATGTGCACACACACTAGGTGGTATGAAAGTATACAAGAATAAGCATAGACATCTCTTTACATAGAGATTAGGATATATTCAAACAAAATATCTAGGAAGAGATAATATCACATGGTTCAAAGAAAGGAGGAATCTGAAAAAAATTGTGTTTGCAATTACAGAGTTATTGACAACCTTTGAGCATTGCTTTACTTTATTAGTAAGATAAAACCAAATGGCAAGGGATTTTATAAATGAGTTGATATGAAGAAAAACAGGGCAACTATTAATTAATGAATTATAGAGTTTTGCTACAATCATGAAATATGTGAACATATTACCAAAAAAGATACTATATAATAATAGCTGACATTAATACTAATATTGTCACCTTAGTATTTACTAAGTGCAATAAAACAATATTTGCATGAGGTCATGTCAATGAGTTTTGAGGTTTTGTCAGCTTTTTCAAAGGACTGATGAGACAAAATGGCCATCAGAGTATTGAAAAAGGGTAAATGTGACAAAGAATTGAATTTCCACGTAATTACATATAAACCTCTTCAAAATGCATTTTGGGGAACAAGACTGAGGAAAAAGATACAAACAAAAGTGAAATAAATTGGCTCTCATCAAGKCCGCTGTCCATGAAAGATTACATGGAATCAGCTTTCAGAGATCCTAACAGTGATAGCACTTGATAGTTGTTTTTTTTTCATGTTTCTATATTTAATTTAAAGGTATTTAATAAATGGTGGTTTGGAATTGCTTGAGTTCTTTTTACTAACTTTTGTTTTTTTAAATTCTTAACTTTAGTGACTATACTTTTGGATATTATGGTGAAGAATTTCATTTATGCAAGTTCATGTCTGAGAAAATCCATTTCTAATACTCTTTCCTCTTTTTTGTAGGTTTTATCCTCTGGTCCTGATATTCTCTATGACCCACATCGCTGGTTAGCAGAAAGCAAGGTAATTATTCATGCTTATCCTAAGTTTATCATAATATTTATGAACTGTATGGCATCCTATTTGGCTTATTCATATTATTGTCATATAACTGGCAGTTTSTCATGATTCATTCTAGGAAAGATGTCAGTGCAATACATTAAGAAAATTTTATGTTTCTTATTTTAACATTTAGAAATTAGCCAAAATATAATTTGKTTTTTTGGGGTAAGCACAAACAGTCTGGCAGCTCAATATGGCTCAAGCAAATCTTCTCACCTTGCTGAGTAATTCACAAAATGGAGAGGTGTGAACTTGATATTCTGAAGATGACTTCCCTTCCTCATGAGTCTATGGCATTATGATTTGAGTTTAATGGAAGGTAAGCAAAAACAAATGGGACAATTTTCAAATTTTATAGAAAAGGTTCTACTACATTGTGGGATAAGTATCAGCGACCTTAATATTTCAGATCAACTTGCAAGTTCATTTATTAGGATTTATGGGATATTAAGACCATTAAGTTTTTAGTACCTACTTGAAGTGCCAACTCTTATGCACTTTCACTCCTTTTTAGTCTAGTTTCCCTTAGTTTTAAGATACTAATATAAAAAAATATTTCATTTAAATTCTATAAGAAAGCCACCTATACTACAAACTTCAACAATTAAACTCCGATTTAGGATTTTATTATAAAAAAGAACCTTTAAGTTTTGTCTATTATCCTTATTTTAAAAATAAATGAGGTCTCATAGAAGAAAAGTGACTTGTGCATTGCCATGTAAAGAAAGAAAAACCAAATTACCTGACATATCTGAGTCACAATTAATGTCTTAACCACTATACATACTGCTATCTAAAGTCTTTGTTCATTCACAAGATTCATTAATTGTATAATACTTTGTGTCACACTGTGGATATAAGGACTAGCAAGCCATGCACTTTGCTCTCATATRGTATAATAGGGAAAACTCAGATGTAAACACATTTTAAAATATTTTAGTGTGCTGTATTGTTATAGACATGTCACCACTGAAAAAGGAACATAGGACAAGGAAGTATCTCTGACATTTGTATTGAGATGGCCGTGGAATATGATGTTGTAAGCATATCCTTAGAAGCTGTATTRGAAAAGAGCAATGTTTTAAAATTGGTCCAACCAAATATATGTAGAAGTTCTGCAGTTGGCTAGTTATGGTAGAACAGTGGCAAGAAGATAAAGAGTATTTGAGTAATCACAGATAATGCACTGAGGTTGTTGAGTGAGGAATAGGTGGGAGGCCATGCAAAGATAGAAGTCACCTTTGAAGGCCAGCTCTGCATTAGACAAGTCTCTTCAAACAGAAGAAAGAAACAAAGAACATTTTTGTTAAGAAAATAACAGTATTATAATTGAATACTAGAATTTATCTTACCTCATAAATTTTTCTTTACAAACACTAATGCTCTGCTTCCCTAACCATTTTTGATAGAAATAAATGCAAATTTGTATTTTTGTCACCTGCATAGCAAATTTAGAATATATATGTTTTGCTATCTCAGTATTTTTTGGCCAGAAACTTCTGTTGTGCATTAATATAACATTTCTCTTCTTTTTCCCAACTCTGCAATTCTGACAACAAGAGCAATGTACTTGGAATTTTCTTTCAAGTTAAAATCTTTATCATTTCTGAACAGAAAGCTTTCACTGCTGTGGTTCAGTTAAATTATGAGAGCCAGAGATGACTCTTAATCATAGCTCTTTAATTTGGGAGCTAGCAAGCAGTTTTCCCTTATCATTTAATGGGATTGAACTTCTGATCAGACCAGTTTTAATACTGCATGAGACAACTGTTCTTTCTACACTGTAAAAGGCTGTGATAAAAAATACCATCCTGACCAACTGACTAAGGAGGAATTGAATCTATTTACTAGAAAGATGGCTTAGGTTATTGATGGGCTACAATACTGTAATTCCCATGAACTATGACTAGACAGCTCTATAAGTATTGAAGATAAGATCTCAAATCAGAGGACAAAAACTATATGGAAAGTAGAATTGCTATTCAGCTAGTCCATGCTGACATCTTGCAGTATTGGAAGGACCTCTGAGAGGGCATTTGGTAATTGTTTTCATAAATCAACTAAATGAATTTCTTCTGTTAGTGTTAATTCTAGAAGAACTGGAGTATTGGGTGGGGATTTTATCACTGTTGCTTTGTTGGCAGTGGTGACATCACATAAACGTGAAGTCCACCTGAGAATTGGACCAGGTTCAGAGATAAAATAACCAATGAAAGGTCAGGATAAGACATTACAGGAAGGAAGAAGGTAGAGATGGTTGTTAAAAAATGCCAGGCAAGGAGTTCCTGTAGATTAGGGATATGTTTTTGTCATAAATTCTAACAAGGCATGTAGAGGTCAAATTTGATTTAGATTAATTAATAACAAATAACTACAATGTCTTAGAGACTTCGTGACAAGAGATGGGCATAAAAAGGAGTAAGACATGGTCCTGCTTCCTGGGAACCAACTTTATTTAGGAAAGGCAGACACATATGCAGACAATTTTACTAGATTTTAAGAACTGTTTTACAATTATGCTGATGCTACCGCAGAGGCTGATAATGCTGATGAATCTTGAAGTATGGTACAGAGAAAATCATTTTAGGAATGGCATGGAAGAATAGCATGATAAATGCAAAGAAACCCAAAGTGCTTTGGCAAGAATAGAATATCAAAGGGTGAGACAGAGAAGAAGGGGAATAGGCCACAGGCAGAGAGACGGATTATGTTTGTAGACAAGTGTATTGTCTGTCATTTTTAGGAGCTTGGATTTAGATCTGTATGTTGTGAAGAATCACAAAGGAGCTTTGAAAAAGTGAGTGACATGCTCATGTTTATATTTTTGAAGGATTATCCTGATAGTAATGTGAAAGGCAGATTAGAGGTGGTAAGATTTGAGGCAGGTAGACAAGTTAAGAGGCTTTTCCCATAGACTGGGTGAGATAGGGTGACACTCTTTATTAAGGATTTTTAAAAGAAATTTAAAAACAAGCAAAGATGAGAGTAAAATTTTGGTGATAACTTGCCAGTGATGATTAATGTTATGTCAGAGGGTGCTGGATTTTTAAGCCAAACTAGAACACTCTAGGCAAGGTTGGTATTCAAATAAATGGGGACGCACAGTCCTAGGGAGGCAAACTAACAAAGGTATTGAATGAGATTCTGAGGCAAGAATTTGTATCCAGAAWGTTCAATTTGCACTGGAAAGTCAAAAGAGAAGTAAGGACACAGGTGCAGATCAGAATTTAGATTCAAATTGTAGAAATAAATGGGAAATAGCTTAAAGACACTCAGGTGAGACAATGGGGACAGCTTCCCAAATCTAGAGCTAACAGGCACTCTCTCAGGATGGAACCACATGGTACCTAAAAAGAATCACAGTTTATCCCACATCTTAAATTACCATTTAGTGATATTTAATAAAGAAAAGCTGATGTCTTCTGCACAGGTAGGATCCTCAGTGCTCTCATTTTCACATTTAATTCTAGGACACCAATATTAATTACTTCCTTAAGATGAAAACAGGTGAATTTAATATACTTCTTTGGCTATAGAAAGCTATATTCTTCCTTCTTGGTCTTCATCCCATTGTATTGAGTCCTCATTTACTCTTTTTTCCTTAGTCTGTAAGTTTTACCAGGGAAGTTATCTGTCTTTCCTATTCCTTAYCTTTTTAGCCTATAACTGCAATGCCAGGCTAATGGCTCAATAAATGTTTTTTTTTTAAGTATCTATCTGTATCTGTCTATCCATTCATTTTTCCACTCAAGTTGCTTCCTCAGATTAAATATTATAACTTAATATTATAAATAAAAAATTTGACTTCAACAAATGTTCTGCTTCTGGAGATTGCTTTTATTTGATCAGAGTTGTAAACTTGAAGATTATGTGGACAAGAAACACACAACTTGTTTGGGGAGTTTTCTATATTATCCTCTGCTATTTTCCCTAGGGTTCACACTTTGTAGTATAACATGTTCAGGGCATCGATAATCATTTTCATTTCCTTCCCATAAAACTATGACAGCTTTTGATATCATATTGTTTGACCTCAGTTTGTAGATAGGAAAACTGAGGCTTRGGCAGTGTTGAGTTTTACTTAAGGACATAAAACTAATTAGTTACTGAGAAGGGTTTTGAGCTTGAGTTTCTGAACTCTCTGCCATTGCTTCTCTCTCCTAGATGTGTAAATTAGACTTGAATATAAACTTTACATTTGTTAATATTGTCATTTTATAACACGGGCATTTTTAAACAGTCATTGTGTGAGAAATATTAGACCCAGTGTGTTTAATTGTGTTGAGGGATCTGCATAATCATTTTTGTAGTCATACAGAAAAGAAAATATTGTACTTGGTATCTTGATTCATTTGTTGAAAATATGCTTTAGATGTATACATGGAATATGTTCAATTTGAGCAAATTTTATATTTTAAATATGTAATATTTAAATGGAACTATTTAAATATTACATATTACATATTTGCTATTTTTCTTATTCATAACTAATTAAAATGTAGGGAGAGTATTTACTTAGATTATAATTATATTTTTAGGTTGGCATGAATTTGATGGGTTAGTTTTGTTTTGGTGACCTAGAACATTCTTAATAATTACCATTCTCACTTTTTCTGGTTCTTATGTAAGCATTTTTCCCCCCAAATTATTTTTATAGTTTTGATGAAGGATGCATAGTTGTTAACACAGCAAAATTATGGGTCCTAATATTTTTGCTAACTCTCTAAGTTGTAATCTTTTTATATGAGTTTTCTGTTTTCCTTGGTTTTTAGTTCTGTGTCATTCTATAGTGACTGTATTATTATGCTGAATTTTAGTAGAGAATTCTCACAGATTAAAACATCATTGGGATAGTTTTACTAGATACTTACAAACATTCCCACTTGGTTGTAAGCTGTCAACAATGAAGGTAAAAAAAAATTGCTTTATTTTGAAATTCTCTGTTTTGGTTTATTTAGCAG